AGGGAAACTCTATTTGTGGTGCATCTGTGTGATCTTACTCGATATCTTTGCCACACGTTGGTGGGTGCCCCCAGGCGTAGGTACCCGTGGATGACCAAAGCATTATAGATGTTGATAAAGAAGGCCAGCTTCTCCTCCCGGCTCAGCGAAAGCAGCTCCACCCTCTGCAGCTGGATGGCTAGCTCACAGTAACGCTGAAATGCAGGGTTCACTGACATGCCTTTGTAGTCCACAGACTGTGGGAGCAGACAAAAAGCACACAAGGTAAACCTGCACAGCCCCTTGGTTTGTCTGTGCACGTGAAAATTGAGAGGAACAAATTACCTGTTTAATGCAACGGCACACACTCCATGCCACATTTCCTATATAATCTTACAGTTACCAAACAGACGTGTACAGATGAAAACAATCAGTGGGTCAATCTTCTGCAGTCAGTGAGGACCCTACCTTGCCATCAGCAGAGAGGTGCTCGGAGAACAGTTTCAGAATCATCTCCCGTAAAAGCAAAGAGAGTTCAGGAGCTGAGACAATGAGGAAGAGAGATGGTTAATGTTTGACACATTAAATATCTTTTGCTGGAGAGACAAACCAAACCAATATCTGAAAAGCAAAAGCAATTACAAACTGCATTAGGCTGCATCAAGCTAACGATATAGTACATGTGAATATCACTATTACCTGTGAGAAAAGAAAGCAGTGCAGGTCAATTCAAACAGAAAACAGCCAAGCTTAACACTAACACTAAGGAAAGCAGTGATTATAATCCCCTCATAGCACAGTGCACATTAGCTGGTTAGTTAAACAACATTAGGTAACATTCAGTGAGCAATACAACAATACAGAGCCAGGAGATATGCCTCTACCACCACAGAACTAAAACTTAGATAACTAATTAAAACCTAACCAGTAGTAACCTGACAAAAGATTACACCATTCTGCAGCAAAGCAGAACATTGTTTTGAATGATTTGTACCTTTTCTGGCCACTTTTTGCTTTTTTCTTCATCTTATATTTCTCAACTTGTGCTAACACTAATAATACTGTATGTCTTTCCGGGGCTAGGAATAGACGTTCATGCTCATACTACATTCACAGCCATCATACACGAGTTGGAACTCACTAATGGAATTATCTTTTTTTTTTTTAATGAGGTCTAGAGAGAGTTGGAGGACACTACTTGGCATGAAACTGAACTCAGAATCAGAATCAACTTTATTGGCCAGGTGTGTTGGACACACGAGGAATTTGACTCTGGCACAGCGGCTCTCAATGTGTATGTGCATGTCCTTATGTAAGGCAGCAAAGGGCAAGTAAACAATGTAAGGCTGAGAGAACAGAAAGGAAGGAAAGCAATATGCAAATAAGCAAAAGAAATGTGCATTAGGAAAGAAAAAAGAAGCACTTATAAATAGAGACCTGTATATACACACAAAACAAAGTGGTTCCCATACCGGGAGTTGAACCCGGGCCGCCTGGGTGAAAGCCAGGAATCCTAACCACTAGACCATATGGGAGAAATGATGTGTGTACTCCCATAGTCTGGCAGCCAGTACAGTGTGTCCATTGTGTCTTTGCCTTCTCCAGAGCTGCCATCCTGCTGCCCACATACATGCACATGAACCACATACAGTATATCTGCATCAATTACTGGCCAATATGAAGGTCTCAGCCCTGGCTAGCACACATGTGGCCAGAACCAACAACTGACAGATCTGAATTTGACTATGCTTGATATGCTGAGATAATATACAACTAGGTTATTGTGTACCATGTTTACGGGATGTCAAACATAACACAGTGCCTTTCAAAAGCCAAAATCCAAAGTCTGTCCAGCTTTTCCCATCCAAATTTAAAACAATTCTGCATTATTTGAAGTGACTCTGTTGGATAAGATCTGCCTGAAAATGGTACTTTTTGTAACAAAGCTGAACTGTAAACGAATATGGAAGGTACAATACTAATGTGAAAGAATACAATTAGGATTTGTAGGCACCTCAGTAGCAAAACCTACAGTTCGATGTGGCTAATTATCTTGACTTGCTACTACGTATAATGGTGTTGCTAATATTACATCAAAGCTAACACAAGCAGTTGTGCTTGCGCCCCAGTGCACCGTCTTTGCTTACACTGTAGGGAGCTTAGTGATCACATATAACAAGATACTGTGAGGCAGCCTTGTCCTGCTGGTCTCATCCAGAGTATCAGGTTTCCTGTATCAACTGTCTGTTAGCATTAGCAGTGGGAAAAGAACACACACACACCTGCTGTTACCCAAACACACCATCATGCCAGCTATATTTCTCCTCGGCTGATCTTTAGACAGAGATGACTATGCAAGTCCACTGCTCCTGACTCAGGTTCAGTCTTACTTTAGATGCTGGAAGAAATTTGTTTTGGACCACCCCTTCATTGTGGTCCATTTCACCATTTGGCAAGCCATCCCAAAGCAGACCAAGCAGCAGACTGTGCCTTTATTGTGCCTATTTGTGGGCACAGTAACCTCCTTACCTCCGTCGGTCTCCCCAGCTGTGTCCTCTGATTGATTCTCCTCTGGCAGCGTTGGAGCATCTGCTGGAAAAGGCTTTTCCTTGACCAGACTCACCAACCTCTGAAGCTCCTCTGGAGCCTGAGAAAGTGAAAGTAATACTAAAGGCAATTCAATTTTTTTGACAATGTTGACAAATGAACAAATTTAAGTTCACTGGTCAAAGAGAGAGGTGGTATGTTCGGGTGTTTCTCCTCCTTCTCACCAGTTTCTGCAGGTCATCGTTGCCCCCAACATGAATGTTGTTAAAGAAGATCTGAGGGAATGTGCTGCGTCCTGTCAGATCCTTCACCCTGGCCCTCAGTGCTGGATGCCTACCCACATCCACGTCACATACTGGTACTTCCAAACACCTGAGGGTGGCTTTAGCCTGCACACAGTGTGGGCAGCCCTGGATGGAGTACACTGTTACCCGACCAGGAGCACTAGTCTCAAACTCTGCCATCTGCAGTAATAACAATTTGAGAACGTATTATATACAGCAGTTTTGATGAATGTGTCTAGATGTGTGAGTGCAGTCCTGCTGTAGATGCTGTATATTCATGCATGTATATGTACATAAAGGTTTATGCGCATATATTTTATATTACATGTATGTATATACACGCTTGTGAATATATTTCTCTTGTTCTGCATTTAGATGGGAGCTTTGCCTGACATGGTAAATAATTGGTGCAGTTTCCTGCCTGCTCACTTCAGAAAGTGCATCCTTGTATTGAAAGCAGCCCATGGTGATGTGTATTTCAACTATGTGAAACGTGTGTGACTGCTTCTGTATAAAGTCAGCCAATGACACAGTTCACTATACATGGCATAGGTCAGCCATCATTCGATGAAGTGCTGAATCAAACCCTCATGTGGATTTCAGTTTGTAAACATGGGCCAAGGAGTTTTTGTCCTGATTTCAGTTTTGCCTTCTTTCAGATAGTGCAATCATATAAAGAAAAGACTAGGATATAGTATACCTCACATACATACCCATGCAGAATTCATATCAGAATTTCTTAGGAACTGGTTTGCATGTAGTACTGCTTTTGATATGCAGATGCCATTTTCCATAATGCCATATTCATCTCTAGGTTGTTAAAATGTAATAATCGCGTTAACGTTAATAATCAATCACCCCAAATTTTGGTGCAAGATGACTGCAGATAAATACATCTGGATAACGTTATATCTGTTACATTATGGAGATAGGACGATGTGGCCACTATCTGATGCAAAGCTGGCATCTACTAGAATAGGTCTATTGAATTCCAAGTCAATTTTTAAAGTGAAGTTCAAATGTAAATATGTCTTTCATTGACTGAACAACATTTTAACCAAGACAACTAACAAAAGTGATTTTAGAACACTACACAACTCTTTTATGGCTGGACACCTAAATTATATTGTACAAAACGGCGCTTGTTAATTTGCATATAGCCTATGATGAGCAGATGATAGCAACATGTACGTTACCTTTCAGTGTCTGCCTTGATATGGGAGTGTAATACTAGTTCCAGAACTGATCCCTGTGTAGTGCCAGCTGAACGGTCGCTTATCTTGCAGGTAAATTATCCACACGCACTGACAGCGCTTCACCACTAACTAAAATAGCCCATACTTAACTGCGGGTGTGCGGCTGTTATGCTGCTAGCTCCTCTAATGATGCCTTCAGGTACTCCTCGTAAACCTGCAATTGTGAAGCTGTTAGCTGGAAATCAATCACAATGCCACAATCTCTCACAATCATATGTTTTGATGTGACAGCATATTATTATTTCCACTGTAAGCTTTATTCTGCCTTTAAAAACTCAAATAAAAATATTTACTAGATTTGTTATTATCGTCTGGCCTTATAATCACCTTTAAACGGTATCAGTAGATAATAGGCCTATCTATCCTAAAAGACACAACAGATGATGTAACAATATTTATGTTGTTTATGCCTTTCCCCTCAGACTTAAATTATTCTCAAACTGTATTGTTGTTGTTATAATATTGTGGCGCTCCACTGGTTCGGATGAGTGGAGCTGGTCTGACCCTATCCTATACTGGGACATCTAACAACCAGCTGTGTGCTGGCACCTAGACTGACAAGGAGGAGAACACCGTCTCTGTCTTTTCTTGGCTTTATTCAGGCGTACAAAAACAGGAAACAAAAGGGTTGCAAAACGCAGCACTATGTGCTCACTGGAAAAAGTAACAAAACAGAACATTACAGGTCTCTTCCCGAACTTCACCATCGCCCACCAACAGAACCTAAAACAACACGCCCACCTGTCATTCATTACATCAGGGCTGCACCCACTAAACACAGAACAGAACATAAACATAAGCGGCTGGTCAGGGCCGCCACAATATTGTTAATGTTATTATTTATTGTTTATTTTACTACCTAAATTATGACAACTCAGCAGCTGGATTTTGTAAGCAAAACAAGTCACACTCACAGTGGAACATCAGTGAACATCATGTAGTACCCCCTATACTATATGTCGTTCATACACCCTTCAGTTGAGACACCAATAATTCCTGTGGTCACAGAAGGCGACAGAGGGTGTACTTCACTATAGTCCACGGCTTTTCACGGAACGTTTGATGCGCACATTTGTTCCTGTACGGTCAGTTTTTTTCTAGGACGCGAATGTAGGAAGGAAGTGGTGCCTCGGGTTCTGTGTTGTTTCGAAAATGTCACGTCTGACAAAAACAGAGCGCCTTGGATGTAGAGAGATACTGAAGTTAATGTCAAAAGATGACATACTTTCACTTTTCCATACAGTGACGAATAAGATGATAGCTGCGGAGAATATTAAAGGTATGTTTTAATCTGTACCGAATAGCATTCAACACGTTAGCCGGATGCCATAAGTTAACTTCCATTTCCTCAGATGTTGACCAGTGCAACAAAGTACTGTTATGCCCGTAAGTCCCGTATAACATAATTGAAAACTTCGTAGGCGCGGTTGTTAAAATATCCATCTATTTTCGCAAAGGACTCTCGTCTTGTTCCACAAAACAGACCGTGGGCTAACTGTAAGACATAGACCTTTGAGTAGAACTAAGTTTTAGGGGACAGTGATGTGTTATAAAAGTCTCTATGGGACCTCTAGTCAAAAATGCCTCAGTCTCAAAGATATTGCATGTGTTTACCAATAAGTGAATAATGAATTGAAACGAGTCCAAAGGGATTCTGACAGGCACTGCCACTGGGGATACCGGTGTTCTGTCGAATCTTCATACCCGTCATTATTTCATACCCAAACTTTCTGCGCATGCGCATTAGGTTCTGCGCATGCGCAGTTATGGACTGACTAACCCCACCCCGACCCATCCCCCTAACCCTAACCACTTTGTGAATGGTGGGTAGCACGTCTTGATAGGTAGCAAAATCTGACAAAACACCGGCCATGTATGATGACATTCCTTTCTGCCTAAAGGACATTGTACTGAGGTTCTGAAACCATCAAATTGTTTTGTGCTGTATGTTCATCTGTTCATACAGAGGCTAGGAAAGCGATTCTGTCTTTCACAAAAAATGCCGAGGAATTCCTGAAAAGGAAGAAGGTTCATCGTGATCTCATTTTCAAGTATCTGGCCATGCAAGGGGTGGCCATGCCTTCGAACAGCGAGAAACTCGAGCTGGTGAAGAAGACACTGGAGCTTTGGTCCTGTGGGAAGAAGGTAGGGACAGGAGGTCAGGTCAGGTATCTCTGATATATGCTTGAAAATATGGAGGAAACATTCAGGTAAGGTGGTGACACAAGCACACACACATTGCTGGGAAGAGATCGGCAGGAACATTAGAGCAAAATATAATTATTAACACTAAATAGAAGACAGGCTACCTCAACTTGAAAGCTGTTTTGAAACTTATAAAAACAGTTTATTAAGTCAAGTGTGATATATACTGTATCTGCAGAAGGTTCCAGTAACTGGAAATGGGCACTTACAACCAATATCAAGTATTCCTATAATATAAACTCAAATAACTCCGTAACAGTGCCAAGATATGTTTAGTGTTGCAGTAATAGCTAATTATAATAAATACAAAAAAATTCCTTGTTAGATGGAAGCATTGTCTGTTCAGTTAAATGTTTGTTCAGATAAATATTATGTAGCGGGCTTCAGACTGTACAGGATTTTTTCATGTTTCTTAAAGTGATTGTTCCAGTACAACTTTCTCTAGAGACCTTTTTCTATTCAGCCTTTGATATAAAATGAACAGGTCACACTGGAACACAGTTTGGCTTCATATCTGAGTGTAACAACAACTTCTTATTTCTTTAAGGCAGTGGTTGATGAAAGCCTGCCAGAAGAGACAAATGCCAGCAGACCGAGAGGGCCCACAGAGACACCATCTGGTTCCACAGACATGAAGACTGAGGTGGGCTTTGACCCACTGCTCCTTGGCCATCAGTTCTGCCAGTGGTTTTTCCAGCTCTTAAACAGTCAGAACCCCACGCTGGGCCAGCAGCCTCAGGACTGGGGACCACAGCATTTCTGGCCAAATGCGAAGCTAAGTCTCCTCTACAGGTAAGAATGCCATTAACAGTTAGATGGAAACATAATTTAAAATATGCTGGAAAAATGACAAATGATTGTTTACAATGAAACATAACCACTACATTGTGCACTTTCTACACTGTGCACACTCAGTTGGCTGTCTGGTCCAAACTGAGGCAGGTGCTAATGCTGCAATAGTCAGGATGGTTATAGTGGAAGCTGCACTCACATAAACGCTGTTTACACAGCTTTCAAATTCTGAAACAGCATTTATTTTTGTTACAGTCTGTCCACTGGCATCAGTCCAAATGTGCATTTGTTTTATGTTTCACACAGCACAAGTGTGCCATAGATTGATCGTCACTCTGTGTTAACAGGATACAGTGGTCCTGAAGTAGGGATGCACTGTTCCAAAATGAATAAGCAAAGAATGTGAAGAAGACACTAAGAGAGGGAGCCCTGTTTTAACAGGGCATTAACGGGTGTAACGTCTGGGTGAACAGTGTAAAATGGAAAGATGACATCAGAAAACAGAGAGAAATAAGTCAAATAAGAGAGCACAAAGTGAGTAGTTAGGTATGGCTCCTTTAATTCGTCTAAAATGATTGTTTTAAGTGTTCTGTTCATCAGCTGCTTTATGGTTTTGGTTAGCTTGAAAGTAACTTCACAGTTCTTAACCTGTTTTACACTACATTAAGTTTAAGGAGTATAACACAAAAATCATGGTTCTGTACATACCTTGGTTTTGAAGTTACCGTTGGTACAACATTTTCCATTTTTACTTTTGTTACAGGTTATGTGAAAACTTAATTTTGTGACTCTGGTGACTTTTGGCATATAGAAGATCAGTGCACATGGCTGTTTGACTCAGTAATGTCAGGATGACTCCACTGAAATTAAATTTAACCTGGACCAGTGTTCATCAGAAGTGCATTGTATTTCTGCAGACAGAATAATCATGTAAAACATTCAACAAACAGGACTTGAACCAAAAAAAAAAAAAAACATTTCAGAACCAAACCTTGATGACAGAGCGGTCTCTCTTTGTTAGATCTGGCAGTGAACAGCTGGATGAGCTCCTGGGTGCTGAGCTGGTTAGCCT